TTCTATGATCCTCTGAGTCTATGACCATCTTAATTACACAGCCAACTGGAAATTTCTAAAGAATAAATATATCCTGAAGTTACTTTACAACAAGAATTTGGCAATCTTGCTGAGGTCTGGGTGATGAAACAACTGGTGAAACCATACAGCCAAAGGAATAAATTTTGCATGTCGAATGAAAATCAGTATCTGGGTAGCTATCTTCCTATGCCTGTGATAACAGAATAAGCAGTCTTCTTTCTTGCAGTTGTCTGAAAAACAATACACAATTACATATGCTTAAAATGAGTTTTGCTTGTAATAAACATCTACAGATGTAGTTTTTAGGCAAAACAATCTCTTTTTGAACATAAGACTTAGCATAAAAAAGAGCTCAAATGGCCATTTTTATTAGAAAAGATAGGTCCAGGCGTTTTGAAGAATTGCAGTTGTGTAAATTGAATGTTTTGAATCTGTTGCTGTTATCATAATGCAGTTCTACCATTAAATTCACATGATGAAAAATATATTTCTTACTAAGTGGATGCAGTTGCAGTAGGGTAGAAGTATAGCAAGAAACAATTATGCAATGTTTACTTTTTGAGTGTAAACAAGTCCATCAAATCAAATAGTTGCAGAAGTAAAATATCTTAAAAAAGTGTTAATAAAGTGGCAGAGCATGTGGCAGAAAATGAAAACCCAACAGAATGTTTGTCTCAAAGATTTCAGGAATCTAGCATAATCTGTAGAGCTGATTTTCAGTCAGGGACTACTTCAGCTGCTTATGTCACCCTTAAACTGCCATAAAATAGAGAAACTTCTGGGAAAGTAAGAGTCTTCTCATAAAGCAACAAACAAACCTGAGTTTGTCAGGTCCTTACTTTGGCATTCTGTCTGCTGGGCTTTATTTCAGATTTTTCACAAAATTGTGTATAAAAACCTCTCTTTACCTGTTTGTTATTTCTCACTCTCCTGAAAGTAATTTTCACTGAAGATGAGTAGTGCTTTCTTTTTAGAAAAATACGTGAACTTGAATAGGGATGAGATCTTTGCCAGGAAAACTCTCTTGAATGGTGGAGTCTAGACAGTTACCTTACTTTAGATTTCTCTCTCTAGAAGACATTGTCTTGTAAAATGTTTTGGAGAGTTCTCTAGAATAACAGGTGCAGCCCTAAATGAAAGACAACTGTTACCTTGTCTTTGCAAGGGTATCATTTAAACTTCAGGTTAATTAAAGCTTGCTAACTTGCTCTAGAAGGGCTGTGCATTTGTCACCCTCTGAATCATGAACATATGTGAGGTTGGGAGGCAGAGAACCTTCCTGCCTTGCAGGTGTGTGTTGGCCATGCAGCAGGGGCTCTCAAAATTATCTAAAGATTTCATGTGCATCTGCTGCCATGTAGCACTTTTTCGTTTTGTCCTGGTCAATAGAATCTTTTTTCTTCTGCCAGAAATATAAGTTCCTGGATGAGACACGTGTTGATTCCAGCCCCTGTGTCCTGAAGAAGGGATGCAGTTGGTTGTGTCCTCCCATGGACCTCATCTTGTGTACCCCTTGCCCGCTCCAGCTGCAGTTCTGCGGCCCCTTACTGTCACAGGTGCTGTGGAACATCTTTCTCACAAGAGTGCACGTTGGTGTCCCAAATCAGAGACAGAAGCCAAGAGCGGTGTTTCTTGGCTTTTGGAGAAGAGGAAAGATTGAGTTGTTCCTTGTGGATATCCTGACTGGTTGGGCTTGTGGGAGTAGGTGCTGGGTATCATGCCGGGCATGTGCTGCCAGTTACAGGTGCAGACAAGCCCAAAAAAGCAATTGAAAAAGCTGCTAAACCAGAGATCCAGCCTTTCAGTGGTGCATAATTAGGAAAGACATATGGCATCCCTTAAGCAGAAATTTCTTACCAGTCTGTAGCCAGGAGACATGCAGAGAAAACAGATTTAAGCAAGTGCTCACCTAACTTCACGCATCGTTTTTAGACTGTTTGTACACAGTGAAAGGAAACCTCCGGGCACAATTCATCTCACCTACCTGAGATTTCTAGCGGAAGATGAAATTAATTAAGACCTTCACGTGCCTGTTCTTACTCACTTGAGTATGAAGTTAGATCACTACTTCACATTTCAGAAGTGTAAATGTAAATTTTACTTCAGATTAAAGATATCTGTCAGTACAAGCTTGCAGTCCTGGAAGCTGAGAAATAATTTTTCCCAAACAACTAGAAAACTCTGATGATTTCTTTGATTGTGGAGAATACTGAATGAAAATGTTTCTAATTTTTAATAATTATCTAAAGACATGGCGACTGTGGTAAATTTTGCTTTCTGTTCTTCTGCATTCCAATATAAAAGCAGGATTAGAAAAGTCATGCAAAGAGAGATGCAAGGGTAGGTTGCCACTACTTGCAAGAAATGGAAGTTGCAGGTTCAGACAGTTTGTTTAGGTGCTTTGACAGGCCAGAGACTGTCAAGTTAAAATGTACAAAAACAGAGGGTATGTCCATATGCTGCTAAATGAGAGCACCAGCAAGCCAGTTCCAGTGCTGGAGCCATGATTCTCTTCCTGCTTAACTGTTGGCTCACTCCTTGGCTATTTGCTTCCAGCAGGCTCCAGACAGAAACAGCCCTAAGCACTGAGACTTGGCTGAAAACTCACTATAATTTAGCAGCGTAGGTGCAGCCAGAGTGTCTAAGTATGAAGTAAAATGGTGCTAGCAATGAGTGGTACTGCATAAAGAATCATTCCACCTGCTTCAGGTGGGTACAGTGTTTTATTAGATTCTTTATGAAATAGCTGCATTGGTTTGCCGAGCAACTAGCAAAACAATCAGGGCAGTGAACGGCAAATGCAGACATGTATGTTTAAATAACAAAAGGAGCTGGATCAAGATCAGCTTTTTAATTCATATCACCCCTGCTGCTATGGAGCCTGATAATGGATCTCTGCTGCAATTAATTTCGATTTGCATTGAAGGCATTTTCAGAATCACCACTGTGGATGATAATAGAAACTCCTCAGATGGTCATAAGCAAGATACCGTTTGTGTGCAAATACAAATTGAGTATTCAGCTTGTGTTTTCTCCTTTCATCTTTCCACAGAGGTTGCTCACTACTCATATCCCTCTTTTTCCCATTTTGCTGCACTAATGAGTTTTTAATGCAAAGGAAAAGCGATTATAAGCAGTGAAGCAAAGACAGCTTTATAGAGCAAGACTGAGGAATTGAAGACATAGATCAGAGCTATCCACCAACCTAAGATGAAAGAGAAGTTCATGAAAACAGAGACATATAGATAGCTTTGATTTCATTATCATTAGACAAGAAAGGACAAAAAATGGAATAGCTATAAAGATCTTCATACCTAGTATGCCTATATTAATAAAGGAGTCTATGCAGAAAGCATTAAAGTGATAACATAGGACAGGAAGACATCCTGTAGTAATATTTTTTCGTTCATCTCTGGTGTTAATGTGATGTGATGTGATTACTCAATCATAATGAACTAAAAACCCCATATATTATGCACATATTAAATACTGTATTCATTGATGCTGTGTTTTCATGCAGTTGTTAAGCATGAGTTGTTTGGACTTTTCTCTCTCTTCATTTTTCAACACAGATTCTGGGTATTGTATTTCTATTACTGATTTCATGGTTTATCAGATCTTTAATTGTAAACAAATTAAATAGTTGGTGGCTTTTAGAGGAAGCTTTTGTTTGGCAGATACATGTACCTTGTTAAAATATTCACAAGAGAAGTACCTAATTACATTTGAAAGGTGCTTGACTAGATAAAGAATGATTTATGTACAGTGTTTTATGATTGCAGTTAGGAATCTAATACAGAAAATTAGCAGTTGGGAGTGGGGAGGAGTGATAAATGTGCTTGTTTTGAGAAATAACAAATTTGTTCCTCCAGGATGAAGTCAATCCCAATGCTTTCCTTCAGTTTAGGTCTTGAAAAATATTTTTTTTCATTAAGTAAAACACTAAAGCAAAGCTGTTTTCCAGGGCATCACAAAAACTAAAATAGCATAATTAATATATTTTTCTTCTTCTTCTTCTTTTTTTTTTATTAAATTAATCAGTGCTTTCTGGCCAAGTCAAAAAATTGCTGACTAGTTGTATAAAAGTGATGCTTTGAAATTCTTCTGAGATTTTAATGATAGATATATTTTCATTGCTCTGTAGTTTACTTGCAGTGTAGTGAGTCTTTGTAACTTTATCAGATGCTCTGCTCTGCCCATTCATAAGAAATGAGAAAAGGAATAAAGGTATGTTAAGTGAGTTGCCTGGAGGGACAAAAAAAAAAAAACGTGTCAGACTGGAACAAGGTTTTGGAATCCTGTTTAAATCAGTGTCATCTCTTCAGCTGATAGATTTCTTGTCCAGCACAATCCATTTTGGTGCTCTACATTTTGTAGCTTAATTTATTTTGACACTGGGACTTAGCATAGGAATTACATTAACATTCTGTGCCTTTTTGCCATTCAGCTGTCTCTTGCAAAGGTCCTCTGTCATATTCTTGCCCTAGGTTAATACAGTAAACAAGATGTATTTGAGTGTATGTATCAGTGAGTGATCTTCACATAAGTACTGTGAATTTCCTGTCTGGTTTTTTATTGCAGTGTAAATTGGAGCTTGTAAGACAATGCATACATAATTTTTCTTCCATGTTGAGAATATGAGGAGCAGGTCTTCTGTTTTGACTTGAAACTATTATCTTGGAAATTATTTAAACATTGGCACAAAGTCCACAGACACACTCTGTCAAATACCTGTCTTGTTCTGTTGGTGATTTATATAGACACTACATACTGAACTTTTGCTGGTTTTGGTTTATAGGCTTGACTAAGCACCCCCAAGACAAAGGAGAGTTAATTAGTCTATACTTTAGAACTCCTCACTTATATGCTGAGAAGTGTGCTTTGGTAAACTGATGATACTGGAATAGATGTACAGTATGCCCATGAAGTTCCCTTCATAAATGTGGATTTAAGGAATTTTCTGATTTTATTTTCTTTAGGTCAATGGAACAGAAATTGAATATGAGTTTGAAGAAATTACTTTGGAAAGGGTAAGTATAATTTATTCTCTTCTATAGGAAAATATATTCTGTATTAAAAATAATGCAATTAATTATGAAATTAAAAGTGGTTAATAATAAAATTGTTTATATTTTGAATAAAGGGATTGACTGTTTATTCTAAACTATAAAAATGTGAGCGATACAACAGATAAGTCTTCCATGCTATTAAGAAGTTTCAGGTTTAGCTATTTGCATTCAAAATGCTTTTCTTCCCCATAACTCTGTCAGTGCTCAATTGAGTGTTTGGTTATTGTGAAGAGCCCGTATGACTTGATAACTCCCTTCTTAGCTTTTCAACTGGAATTGCGGAATGTTTTCTCTTTAAAAATTTTTGGTTTCCTGGCACATGTGCATGATAGAGGACATGTAGTTTATACTATAAAAGAAAAATTTCAAAAGGCTTTTTCATATTTAAGTGGCTACATAAAAAGCAGTAGACCATATATATGCATCAAAGATATGCTTACTCAAAGTCTGAATTACCTGAGCTGCAATCAGGGCTTGCAGTGGAGGCTTTGTTGGTAATGTAGCACCAAAACCAAAGTGGAATGTGCTGTGCCATGTCTCCCTGGATTTGGTGGTTTTTTTCCTTGCATTTTGGTTACGTAGCTGTTGTCTTACAGTGCTGACATTGTTTGACACAGATCAAGGCCGTATGGGCCATGCAGGGTGTGAGAAAGAAAGTCTGAGCTTTGCAATAAGCTTACAAAGGTTTCTAAGGGATGCAAAAATGTCATTGCTGAATTTCTTTAGTGTTCTGTCAACATTCTGGGAATATGAAGTTTCTTCATCTTAAAGCACAGTTCAGCTTCTTTCTACATAAAAGGATTGGATAGAAGGCCAGATTTATCAAGATATAGTTGATGCCGTGTGAACAAATACCTGTAAGGTAGCAAATTACCATTAAATTAGTTACTTAAATTATATAATTCACTGTACTTTTTCTGCATGTTATATTTTTAATTGTCCAGGATAATTAATTCCATAACCATTAAACTTAAAGGGATACAAGTTTATGTTCTCATTGATTTGCTCTCTCAGGCAAAATATGAAAGAGCAATATATCTTTTTATCATAGCCATCTTCATAACAGATAACATTTAAGGTTACAGGCACTTCTCATCTACTGTCTCCCAACTTACTTGTGCATCACTAGTTATTCATTGGACTAGAGTTTCCAAAGGTCACTGAGCAGAAAACAGAACACATGCCTCCTGGGTGATATTTTGAAAAGCACTTTATTTTTAACAGAGGTGTAAGTTATCAGTGCACATACTGCAGAACGAATGTGATTTGCACCTCCTGTACCCATCAGGTGCAGATAATTGGTTATTCACAGTGCAGTGTAATATCAGTTAAAGACTGAACAACAACAGCAAAAAGAGATAGAGATCTTAATGGACAATGTTTCAGTTGTTTTCTTGATGATGCTGGATCTGAGGCTTCTGATTACTACTGCTTGAAATGATCTGTCACATGTTTCAGTGTTTTGTCTCAAAGGCAGGGTACTGTGTCTGCTGGTTTTTGTGAGATATAAAACACAAGTGATTGCCTTTAAATAGCTGTCATTTATGTCAGACTAAAAGCGTTTTCAGAAAAAAAGACATTCTCCATGTTGATTACCCATTTTCTTCCACAAAACTGCTTTTAGAAATTAGAGAGAAATCATCTCTCTGTATTTAATGGCAAAGCTGCCAAATAGATTAAGATTGCTGCCGTTGAGAGAGAAAAATGTAGTTTTCCCATATCAAACAGCTGCTAATAAACATTAAATTTTGGTCTAGTTATTCAAGTCACAGAATTCTGCATCCCCAAAACCATCAAAGGCTTTCTTCATGAAATTTAAACACATTTTGAAGTGGTCAGTATAATGGAAAGATTTTAAAATGTAAAGGAAAAGAAAGAAGGTTGAAGGTATTAGGGCAAAAGCACTCTTACTTGCCTTTATTTTAATAATAGAATGAAAGGAAAGGTGGTACTTCAGAGCACCTCCCAGTCTCTATATATACTATTACTTTAATTATTAGGAGGTCACCTTCATCCACAGGTGACCTCCTGTCGCCTCATAGATTTGTGGCACCTGTTCCTGAAGAGAGTTACTGGCTTTGGTATGAACCTTGACCCAGGGTGAAGAGATGTCCCCATCTCTTGGGGTAAAATAAGACTACTGTGTGCATGTTGGCAGAAAGTGTCCAGTGTGGAGCTGGAGAGCAGATCAGCAGGCTCCCAAAAATGCCAAGAACAAACTGTGCCAATGGTCTGGTGGGAAGGACAGTGGAGGGCTTGCTGAGCATCCCCAAGCTGCCCAAGACCATGCTGGGTATACCAGGAAGTTAACTGCAAGGTTACAGGGGGCTTTTGAGGAAAGCTTTTTTAATTATTTTTTTTCTCTTTGAAATAATGTTATTCAGTTGTTTCTGTTTAAAATGTTGTGCCCTAGTTTGCAGTTAAAAAATACTTGGGGATTTCAGATTAAAAGGCTTCCATGAGGCTTGACACAGATGATTAATTTGAGGCAGATCCACCTTAAATCTGTGATCAGTGCTGCTTCCAGGAGTTAAAGAAGTTGTAAGTACATCCCTGTCAGCCCTCTCTTAAGTGGATGCTCTTATCCTTTTACTCTTCAGTTGTGCCAGCCACTTACCAGGTACCTTCACCAATGTCTGAGCTCACTGTTAAATCATTTAGAGCTCTCAGAAGAGCACACTTGAATAACAGTTACAGAGTTAAGAGAAATCAAACAAATTCTAATTCTCTTACATGGGGGAAAAAAAAAGCAGCTAGTTTAAATTCCTTTACATACCTCAGAGAATATGTGAGATTCTCTGCTAATTTACCAGCATAAAATACAGATCTGGGTGTAGACTACAACTTCGAGATTCATAAAAAAACTACAATGCTCAAATGCACACAAAGACAAAATTCTTGAGAATGAAATATTACCTTGCTCTAGCTTGAATATGAAATACATTTTAATAGGGAAACTACATAAAATAATTCATATTAGTTCAGCAATGTTAGTCTTCCATTACTGAAGGACTTGAAAAAACCATACCCAGCACTATCAAGAGACTGCATTGCATTTGTAAATCAAGTGGTCAGGGTAAGATATGATCAAATAGCCTCTGGTACAAAGCCTAACCAGCTTTCCTAAGCTGGAGGAGTTTTAATTTATTGACTCCTTGGTATAAGTGCTGTACTTGGAGACAGATGTTGAAGAGAGTATTTTAACAGAGGTTGGAATATCGGGCAATATGAATACTTACCCTGAAGAAAAGTTAAGGGAGACAACGAGTCACTTAACGATTCATATTGTATTCATGCTGAGTTCAACATCTGAGTTCAGATCTCAGAACCTTTTTGCTCATCTAACCTTGCCTGCTTTTTAGATGTTGGACAAAAAGGACATTCATGATTAGAAGAGCTGTTTTCAGTAGATACTTCTCATGTTCAGTATGTATTTTCATTTTGCATCTGAATAAAAGAAGAATGATACTTGTTTTTTGTGGAATAGACTGTTTGAAAAAACAAAATTCTGTCAACACTGGAATTAAAGACATCCAGTTCTCAGTGCATTTGTATCCTAAGATTGACTGACCTTGGTCAGCCCATCTGAACAGGTTGAGCTCTGACTGAGAATTTTCCCAAGGCTGAGATGTGCATGAGGGCTCTCCATTTCTTTTTCTTTTAGACTCCTGTGAATTTTCTGGCCTATTACAACAATTCAGGTTACACTCAGAATGTCCCTGTTTTTTAATTAACCATGTACTTTTACAAAGTTTTTAGGAACCTGTTGTATTATTTCCTCCTCACTTTTTAGATTTCATTGCAGTTGCTGATTATCTTACTACAGCTGAGAGAGAGACAGGTATAAATGCTCACATAGCATAAGCGTTTCCTTAGAAAATGTCGTGGTTTTAAACTAATAACTAAAAAAAATTACTTATTTTTTGCTGTGAGATATGGATTAGAACAAGAGCAAAACAGGCTTAAAACTTAAAAGGAATAAAGACAGTTTATTAACAAACTACAAGAACAAGAACACCAGAACAAACTTCCAGAAAACCCTTTTATCTCCCACCATTTGACCATTTCTTTGTACACATGACAACATAGAGACAAAAAACTTTAGAACTTTGGTGGTCAAAAACAGTCCCAATTCTTGCTAGAATCTTTTCATCAGTCTTTGTAGAGAAACAGAAGTTTCTTTCTGCTAACCTATGGAGTTTCTCACAAGAAAATTATTGCTGTTATAGTTTCCTATTGCTCTGATGCCAGCTGCCCGGAAATCTGTCATCAGTTCTTCTCCTCCCATTTCACATCACTCTGAGGTGTGTATGGGCCATGAGTTTAGGGATGTCATTTTAAGGATGAGTTATTCAAAAGCAAAAGTCTTCTTTCTCTGTGATCTTTCCTGGAAAAACAGTTTTCTTTTTGCCCCCCAAGGCTTCAAAATCTTCACTCTACCCAGTTCCAGCAACTCACAGTATCACAAGTACTCTCTTTTTCCTTAAAAGTCCACACTTTGAACACTCTATTCCTCCCAATACTCTGTTATGAATTAAAGGAGTATTTTTAAACTACTATTGTCCATCTCCATAGCTTTAACAGAAAGATATTTCAGCTGTAAAGCATCTTCTTATTCTCTCTCTCTTATTTAAAACTTAACTCTTTTCTTCACTGTTTTTGGTAGTTCTATGATGTCTTCTTCATGTTGATTGTCTCTCTCTTTCTCTGTCTTTCTGGGAAAAAGGAGTAATCTGTATGGTTTATCTAAGTGTCTTGAATGTTTCTAGGGATGAGGCATCCACAGTTTTTCTGGGGCAGTCTCCTCTAATATTTCACAACGCTCATTGTAAAAAATGGCTTATTTAGATGTAGGCTAGATCTACTTTCTTTTGGTTTAAAACCCTTGTCCTACATCTACAGGCCCTGTTAAAAAGAAGTCTCTCCGTATTTTTCTTGTAAGCCCCCTTTAGGTACTGAAA